TAATTAATTAATTAAATCATTCATCCACCCATCCATCCATCCATCCATCCACTAATCCAACTTGTAGATGGTTCCGTTCGGATGATTGGCGAGGATTTTGTTCTCGCTCCTCATCAGCAGTAAGGCCCTCTCCACGTACGACTTCAACTGATGATGATGGTGATAGTTATGATGACGATAGTCATGATGATGATGGTGGTGACGACGACGACGACGATGATGATAATAGTTGAGGTTGATGATGATGATGATAACGACGATGTTTCTATCACTAACTACACAAATCAAATTATCAAAAAAATAACAACAACGCAGATTACTGAGGTAAAATGTTTACAATTACAAGATGTAAAGATGTAACAACAACAACAACAACAACAACAACAACAACAACAACAGCACACCTTTTCCTCAGGCATATTTTTATTGTTAATAGTGAAGAAGCCCAAGAGGTCAACGAACTGTGAGGCCTTTGACCCATATATATGTAGGTCAGGCCAGATGGCCCACATGTTGTCTATCAGGCGTACCTGCTGTTCCGATTCAGAGTTCCTGATGACGATGATGGTAACAACAATAATAATTATAATAATCAAAAAATTTCTTTCCACTCAAGTAAGTAATGGTTAAGATTGTAAAAGTCTATCAATAAGCGAAAGAATGAAACAGACAGACAACAGACAGACAGACAGACACAAACAGACAGACAAAGACACACAGACGGAGAGAGAGATAGAGAGAAAAAAAGAGAGAGAAAGAGAAAGAGAGAGAGAAAGAGAGAGAGAGAGAGACAAACAAATGCAGACCTGTATATATTGAGGACCAGATTATGAGCCAGCCACCTCAGTGATGTCTGGTTCGACTCCATCAAGAAGCAGACGATGAATCTGACAAGGAATAAATAAAATCATAAAAATAACAAAAGAAATAACAACAACAACAACAATAATAATAATAATAATAATAATAATAATAGTTACGACATGATGATGATGTCGTAATTAACCTAATGAGTAGATCGGGATTGATGTTGTTGCATATCTGCCTCGCCAGCTTCAAACTCGTGCCATCATGTTTCAGACTGCCGTCAGCTGTGTCTGGTGCTAATAATAATAATAATAATAATAATAATAATAAATAACAATAATAATAATAATAATTATTAATAACAGCAATAATAATAATAAATAACAATTATTACGACGACAACAACAGCAATAAACCAAAGACCAACCAGATTCCAAAGCCTTCTTATCCTTCTTCACTTTCGATTTACCGCCGCAAGGAGGTGCAGCGATAGCAGCAGCTGCAGCTGCTTCCAGCTGATCCGGTTGCTGCTTTTCTGTCGAGCAACAGAGGATAAGCTGCAGGAGTGTGAGCAGCTGCGAGGCCACACCTTCGTCTAGGCAGACGCTAGCTTGCATCAGAAACTCCGGGACGTCTGGTGTACGTATGGGAGGGTTTTTTTGTAAAGGTTCGTATCTGTTTGTTCGTCTGTGTGTTTCTTGTCGTACCATCATCATCATCATTATCATCATCGTAATCATTATCACAATCACATCATCGCAATCATTATCACAATCACAGTCAACAAAATCCTCATAATAACTATCACCTCTATGTTGGTTACAAAATCTTCTCCAGCTAACCAGGCGACCGTTTGCAACCTCCAGGCATGCTTTCAAATGATCAACCTGTGATTGGGTGTCAACCAATCGATCAATCAATCAATCAATCAATCAATCAATCAATCAATCAATCAATCAATCAATCAATCAATCAATCAATCAATCAATCAATCAATCAATCAATCAATCAATCAATCAATCAATCAATCAATCAATCAATCAATCAATCAATCATTCAATCAATCAATCAAAAGCAGACAATAAACCAACAACCAGTCAATCTACCAGTCAAACCAACCAACCAACCAACCGACTAAAAAAAAAACAAAAAAAAAACACACCATAGTAATCAGCATATCGTACGGCAGGTCGATACTATCAAACAAACGCACATCCCTACTGGACCCCCAAACTGGTGGAGATGATGATGATGACGGTGACGAGGAGGTGGCGGCCATCTTTAATCCTTTCTTTAGGCAGATTTCCTTGACAATAGTGATGTGCTTATTCAGATAGTACATGTCTCTTTCTAGCCTGTAATCTTCTTTAGAGCCGCAAACTAACAGCAAGAGCTGGCAATTTATTATTATCATTATTATTACTATAATTAATAATATTATTATCATTATTACTATAATTAATAATATTATTCTTAATTATTACTATAATTAATTTTTATAAATAATATTAATGTTATTAGTATCATTTTAAGTGTCACTGTATTAGAAGGTATCACTGTCAATCTTACCTTCCTGACTTGCTTCTTGATGAATGGAGCTTGGTCGCTAATCATGTACTGATACAGAATACAATCGATCAATCAATAAATCAATATATCAATCAACTAATCAATCAGTCCGCCAATTAAGCAACCAACCAGCACAAAACTTACTACCTCGGTTAGTAGAGCTCTCCAGGCACTCTCCAGTTTCAAACTCTCGGATAACCTCTTCATCTGCAAACAGAAATAAAATTAAAATTAATAAATATTTTATTATTTGTTATCTAAATAATTGTTTAGATTATAAAAATTTGTTTTCAATGCCAGCAATCACTACCAATACATTAACGATCAATCAACCATTCATTCACTCGCTCATTCCTCCATCCATTCATTCATTTGTCAATTTATTCATTCATTGATTCATCTTTCCATCCATCGTTTAATCAATCGACCAATCCATCCATCCATCCATCTGAAAACCTGATAGGGAATCCTCAACAAAATCTCAACGAGCAGATGGTGAAAATCTTCAAAAACATCGTACGCGTGCATCTTAACGTAGAGCTTCATAAAAAATGGCTGAAAATCAGGCGGGTTGCTATTTAGACGGAGCTTAAGGACCTGCCCTAGGGGGGCCACACCACCCGAGCTACCCCCTCCGCCGCTCGAGACCTCCATGCTGCCGTCGTCCACAGAGGAGGAGGATATTTTACCACCACCCTGAGATTTTGCCAGTTGCAGGTAGTTGGAGTTGAGGAGCTGTTGCAGGTGTCGCTGGCAAAACTCTAAGATCGGGCTGCTCTGCAGTTTTGTGCCCACAAACTGACTCAGCGATTTGTTCTGCTAGTGTAGTTCGTGTTATCACAACGTGAGTATGCGTATATAATAACATTATAATTAGTTAATTATATAATTTACATTTAATTAGTTAATTATATAATTAACATTATAACACATGTCCATCAGAAAAAAAACAAACAAAAACAAAAGCAAAACTCACATCAGTAATAGCAGCGGCACTGCTAGTAGCCGAAGAGGCCTTAGAGGAAGATGATTTAGCAATAATAGCCGTAGAAGCAGCTGCTGCACTAGCGGCTGTACCACCAGCAGCTGCAGTAACGTGCTTGTTGTAGCTGCTATGAGACATGAAGACGCTCAGCATTCTTAGCAACAGCAGCTTAACTTCCCAGGTTTTTGTGCGATTTAAACTGGAGGAATAGTTAATATTGGTAACTCCACTAGAAGTAACTTTTGTAGTGTTAGTAGAGTCCGACGAGTTAATCCCTAATTCAACGATGATTCCGTCAAACAGTTTGTCGATTAGTTGAACCTCTTTGGTGGGGTCCATCTCGTAGGTCAAGGCCATCAGAAGTTGTAGGTACGGGACTATTTGGTCACCTGACATGTTCTTCAGCTCAGGTAGGTAGCTGTAGTGTAGCAATGAGATTATCGTGATAATGATATGGTTAATGATGAAAACAGTGTTGTTAAAATATTCAAATGTTGAGTGACGTTAAAAACTTTGCGAATACTTGATCAAAATTCAATCATCAAATAACATTCAAGTATTTGAATACTTCAAATTACTTAACTACACTATTCATCGGAGTTTAAAAAAAAATAAAATAAAACCATACCCAAACGTGCAATTTATAAAACCATAAAAGAATAAAAATGACAGCTGCGACCAACCCAATCATGAATTCGAGCAGCTTCTTCCTGTACAAGTGAGCCTTGATGACTGCATCATTATCCCCGCTGCTCTTATCAACATCTCCACCAACGCCCTCACCAATAACATCCTCCTCCTCCTCATCATCATCATCCTTATCTTTCTGCTCTTTTGGCTGATTTTTAGATGTAGAAGACAGCGGCCGTTCCTTGGCCACTGAAGCAGAAGTAGCAGCTGCCGAAGATGTAGAAGTAGCCGCAGTGGCTCCAGTGGTGGTAGCAGCAGTAGAAACAGCTGTTGGATCGATGTTGTCGCCTGTGTGGATGGTACTGTCTGATACCGCGTCACCCATGGCGCTACTTCTGCCACTCACTGCAACAAAGTATTTAGACGATGTTCATTTAATCTGCAGCCCTAACTCAGCCCATCAAATACAATCAACCCGGAACGGCTACAAACGACGACACGAAAACAACAAAGCATCTGCAACAACGTGACAACATTAGGACACGGACTAACCGGAAACAGAGCCAACATTACTACCGCTGCTGCTATCTGACGCCGCGGCGCTGATCCTATCCCCCTGATCCACGGGCAGAATTTGGAGGGCTGAACCCTCGACGGCCACCATACTACCCACTTCATCGTCGCTACCCTGGCCAGAAGCAGTCGCGTCTGACAGCATGCTGGACGCCTCCTGTTGTTGTTTTGTTATGTTGCCGTGTTGTTATGTGATGATAGTAATAATAATAATAAGAAGAAAAATAAAAAAAAAAGAAGAAGAAGAAGAACACAACAACGATAATTATAACTCACCTGAAATTGAACAACCGCAGATGCACCGGCCTCTCCAGTATCAGAAGACTGTGAATAAATTAAAAAAATGAAGTAAGAAATAAATAAATAAATTAATTAATTAATTAAATGATTAATTAATGAACAAAACAAAAACACAATCACCATTTACCTGCTCCTGAAGACTTAGGGCAATAGCCAGCTGAACCATTGTCTCATCATCTGCGTTCGGATTCAGGTCCAGGAGTGCCTGAAGATTGCCGCCCTCACCCCCCAACAGGGCCTCAAGAGGGTTCGGTTCTTGGGGAGCTGAGTCATCTGGGGTTCTCGCCTGCGCTGATGTGGCGCCACTGTTTGCTGGTGCTTCCTGATTGGTAAGTTCGGTGATTGGCTGGTTGGTTAGTTAGTAAGTTTGATTTAAGAATTGAACAGTTAATTGGTGAATGATGACTGATTGATTGCTAGTCAAATAATTAGTGATTTATTGTTGATAGGTTGATGGTAATTAGTGGAAGAGCAACTAAAAATGGTCATCAATTTTATCATCTTCATTCCCCATTGCACCCATCATCCTCATCTTCATCGTCATCATCCATCTAAAACTAACAGGCGCCAGTTCATAATGATCCCGATCATCAGAGGACCTCAACCTCCTGTCAGCAGAAGCAGACGGCAATCTTATGCTTTGTATTATCTTTGTCAGTTTCTCTTGTTCATCGTCCTTCTGTAGTTTCTGTGGCTGCTGCTGCTGCTTCCCTAGCTTGCTAGCGCCGCCACTAGTAGAGCCCTTGTTGCTTTTAGGAATGACGTCATCAGCAGGGATGGGCTTGATAACTTTCAGGAGAGAGTTTTTGCAGCTGTAGCTGATTTTTTTATTTTTAGAGAAGAGCATCCGCATGTAGAGCTTCGTCGACAGTGCAACGATGTCTACGTTACTGCTGCTGTTGTTGTTGCTGCTGCCTAGCAACACCGGGCTGCCGCTGTCGTTTTGTGCCGTCGTTGTGTCCTGAGGGTCGTTTGTAGTAGTCGCTGGTTGCTGCGATTGGTCGCTGGTGACAAACACGTTGATGATGTCCACCAATGATGAGACTGTATGCTCCATGTTTGAAAGACCTGCGTGTACGTGTGCGTATGTGTGTACGTATGTGTGTGTGTGTGCGTATGTGTATGTACGTGTGCACTCTTGCAGGTGAGTGTTTGCATGTCTTACAATATTTCAATATTCGATATTCTACTTTAAACATAATTCAAATCCTCATCAATAACACCAAAAGTTCGGCCCCATCATCATTCCATCACAACCACCATCATTTCATTACAATTACCATCATCACAATCATCACCATAATTGCAATCATCACCGTAATCGCCATCATCATCCTCCTCCTCCTCCTCCTCATCATCATCATCGACACAACTGACCAGTAACATAGACGGGACAAATGAGTGGACTATCAATCTGTTTCGAGACGAGATGCCAGAACACGGCGCACAGTTTCGAAACGAAATGCTGCGATTCCGTTGTCGACAACTCAAACTGGCTCCCTTGTTGCTGCTGTCTGTTTTCAGTTATCCCACTAGCTCCAGCATCAGAAGCAGTAGCAGCTCGGCAAGCCTCGACATTTAATTTCAGTTTCTCGTCATCTTTATCCTTCTTCTTCTTCTTCTTCTCCTTCTCACCGGCTGTATCATTGTCATCTCTATCATCTTCATCATCACCCTGTTGTTGTTGCTGTTGTAGCTGAAGTTCAACGAACTTGACGACGTTTTGAGGTCTAAGTTGGGAGATTGCTCCTACGGCACTTACTGACTTTTGAAACCTTTCAGCCAAGATGTCTACATCATTTTCATCATCATTATTATCATTATTGTTACTGCAGTTGAAGAACTGGTCCAGTTGTTTTGCAAGCTGCTGCATGTGGGCTAGATCCTGATATGATAGCGGAAGAGTTGACGATCATGATAAGTTAATTTTAAAAAGAATGACAGACAGACAGATAGATAGATAGATAGATAGATAGATAGATAGATAGATAGAAAGATAGATAGACAGATAGATAGATAGAAAGTCGTAAAATTAACGTAGTCATTATGTGTAAAATTATCATCCAACCATCGTCACCACTATCACCACCGCAACCACCATCGTCGCAATCATCACTATCACCAGCACACAACCCCACGACCATAATAATAATAATAACAATAATTATAATTATTATAATAATAATTATATCATAATTATAACAATAATTATAATAGTCGCGACCTTATGCCAGCAGTAGGATGCCTTGTTGCTGAAGAGAGTGGACATGAGCGCCTGATTGTGCAGCTGGACGAGTTCGGGAGTGGCCAAGGTCAAGAGGTTAGTCGTGAAGTCCAAGGTCATCTTGCGAACCCTTTTCTGGATCACGACGACGACGATGATAATATGACGATGTTTATCACGATACAAAAGATTGATAATAATAATAATAATGTGAACTCTTTTATTATCAGAAAACATCAAGACTAATCAAAATAAAATCAAAATAAAATCAAAATAAAATCAAAATATAGTAAAATTAATTTTAATGTACGACCCCCTCCCTGCTCATTGTCAATGACAAGTGTGTGAGAGTCTATAAAATATATTTAAAGCATAGTATTTTATGCAGTGTTTCTGTCACAATACTATACGGACGAGCGAATAACACTATTAATTAATTTTTCATCTAAAGAAATCGGCCAAAGTATTGTAAATAAAGATCAATTTAAGTTGTTTTAGAGACCCGTTGGCGAAATTTCAAACGAATTGACAATTACGGAACAGTCATCGTTTAAATAAGATTTCAGGTTTTTGTATTTTTGTCGCTTGTTCTACTGTCTGGATGAATGAAGGTTAGTTAGTTAGGAAGGTTAGTTAGTTAGTTAATTAGTTATAATAATAATAACACTAATAATAATAATAAAATATAATAATAAAAATATTGATGATGATGATAGGACGGGATGATGATTAGAGATGCAAACGATATACCGACATCAATGCCGATACTTTTTTTACGAACGATATACAGCCGATATGATACCGACGATAACTGAACCTTCAAAAATCATCAGGTACACCGACGACAGAATGTCTGCTAGCTAGCTGGACCTAAGTCTCGCGAAACGATTAAATCAACGCCAAACTTTTTTGGAACACTTTTGGAACGCATTCAAACCAATATATTGAATTGTCTTTTTTTTTTGTTTTAATTGTACAAAGCAAAGACACACACACATACAGACACACACACACACACACACACAGATACACACACAATTAAACAACCGACTAACATCTTCAGAGAGTGACGGTGATACGGCAAAGCAATCGTTCACAATCTCCATCGTTCCGGCCAGCAGTCTGTAAAAAAGCATATTATGAAATAACAATTTAATAATAATTATAATAATAATTATTATTATTATAATTATCATAATAATAATAATCATTATTATTATAATTATTATTATCATCAAAAACATTTTGCCATCACCTATCAAAATGACTCATTCCTGTTCCATTGTCACCTCCCATTCCAACGGCATTACTACCACCAGTGCCGCCACTTTGACCTTCATCGACTTTGAGGTCAGCCGAGGTCACCGTCTGGCTGGTGGCAGTCTGGCTAACTGCTTGGGTGGCTGTCTGAGAAGAGGTCTGGGCGGCGGCTTCGTCGTCGTCTGGCCATCCGAATGCTTCTTTAGTTTTGTAGTAAACTTTTATTGAATCTACCATTGTTATATGACCTGGATCTCTGCTGGGTCCGACTGTGTGAGTATGTGTGTGTGTGTGTGTGTGTGTGTGTGTGTGTGTGTGTGTGTGTGTCTGTGTGTCTCTGCTTTGTACAACAACAAGTTCTGCATATTTAAGCCATGTAGAATATTTAATTTCCTTCTACATACGCGCATGCACGCATGCATAGATGCAAAGGTACGACACTTGTACAAACAATCACGTACTTGTTGTACAGAAATGGATATACTAACAGTTGATTGTGAAGTATTTTTCGGCACTAATGGATTCTTCTCTAGTAAATGGAATGTCGTACCATCTCTGACGAGTCAGGTTCGTCGTCTGGTTCGTTGAAAGATTGAGTGATTGATTGATTGAGTGATTAATTGAGTGAGTGATTGATTGATTGAGTGATTGATTGATTGAGTGATTGATTGATTAGTTGATTGAATGATGGTTTGAATTAATTGAGTGATTAGTTGATTGAGTGACTGGTTAATTGACGACTAGATTAATTGATTGGCTTTTGAATCAACTCATCAACACAGTAAACTAACGGTGAGTGATGGTGAAAGTGAAAAATCGCATGCAAACACATACGCACAAACAAACACAAACAAAAACACACACGCACACACACAGACACACGCGCACACACATATACACACACAAACGCGTACAGGTATAGTTCTATTGAAAACTTCAATGTGAGACGGTGCCCTGTCAATGGATTGAAATCCGACCATAACCCTGATACCCACCAAGACGTTTGTCGCACTAGTGTCATTCCACACTTCCATGCTGAACCCAGAAGGCTGTAGTAATTACATTTTTAAAGTTTTGTGTCTAATGGTGAAATAATGTCGTAATTATTGCAGATGATGATACTGAATGATGATTGATAGATAGATAGATAGATAGATTGCAAGAGACTGCCGAGCACTCTGTTGCGGTGATCACGCTCGAATGCCAAGAACTCACTGCCCACCCATCATTCTCCTCTTTAGCATCTCAAGCCATGCGAATTAAAACCTCCCTCCTTCATTATACAAATCAATTTTAATGATGATTAGAACGAATTTAGAGATAAAATATCAATGAAATATCACCACACTAATGATTCTCCACCTTGATACTGGCAATGTAGAGGCCTTGCTGATCGAGTCTCGTCCTAATTTGACTCGTGTTGTAGTACTGTAGCACGTCGTTACCTGCGAACACGATGTCCTCCGTGTTGCACAGCTGACATTTCTCAAAGAAATCCACAGGAAATACTGGCAGACCTGCGTGTGTGTGTGTGTGTGTGTGTGTCTTTGTTTGTTTGTTTGTGTGCATGCATGTTTTTGTATGTTCGCGAACGTGTTTTGTTTGTACACGTGAATGTGTACGTTCAAGTAAAATGAAACATAAGAAAAACAAGAAGGAGCAAACCAGTTTTGGGATCAACTTCCTGCTGCTGAGCACTGGCGGGCTTTGATTTTTTCTTCAGCGTCTTAGTCCCATGAGGAACCCCAGGAGCAGCCACGCCTGATCCGCCTGCTAATTCCGACTGATACTTCGGGTTTACCATCCAATAATCTGTGAGCTTTGAATCGACCTTGCAAAGCTTGAGGCTCCCATCCTCGCACAGCAACGTCAGGGTTGTTTGCTTATCGTTAGCTCCTCTAGGAACTTGAATAGATTCGGATGTGAAAGTAGCTGTAGTGCTGGCAGCCGATGCTAGCGATTTTTGAGCTAGCCTGGTCGGAGATGGTGTGACAGCCGGCTGTGCAGTTGTTGCCGATGGAGTTGTAGTTGCAGGTGCTGTTGCTGGGGTTGTAGTTGCTGCCACTGATGATGAACCATATCTGCTTCCAGTGGCTGGTGTAGCTGCTGCTGCAGCTGTTGGCTGTTTTTCCGGCTGAAGATTTTGATGTCTCAAAAGGACCATGTCTTGAACCTGGAATGTGTGCGTCAGTGTGCACTTGTGTGTATTTGTCTATTCGCATAGGCACTTCAAACACCAAATGTTTTGCTCATTTCACAACTCACTAAAGGTCACCGATGATAAATTCATACCTTTAAACAAGCAAGCAGGCAAACAAACGCGCAAACAAACAAACAAACCTTTGATTTGGTAGCCATTTTAACTTCCTGGACCCATATCTTCTTGGACTCGACCATCAGAACGACGGGATTGCCAGATGTGAGAGTCATACAGCAAACGAGGCCTGGGTGGTCGTAAGTTTCCAACCACTGACACAACGTTTGTCCAGCTGGCGACGATGTCGTTGCTGCCGCTGCTGACGATGTCGCCGTCGTCGTAGTCGATGAAGTCGTCGTTGTAGCTGACGATGTTGCTGTCGTCGTCGTTGTCGACGTTGTCGTTTTTGCACTGCTGGCACTTGATGGAGCGTTTGAGCTGTTTGTTTGTTTAGTGTACGTACGCCGTTCTCAGGAATAGAACCGTAATTAAAACTTTTAAATCGATCAATTAATCATTTATTAATTATACACTAATTCATTCATTCACCTATTTAATTAAAAATTTATTCCTTTCGTCAATCAATAAAAACTTGAACAAGTCAATAATTGCAAAACAAATCAAATAGCCATCTAGCCATTTAACTAACCAAGCAACCAACCAAGCAACCAGCCAACCAGCCAACCAATCAACCAACCAACCAATCATACAAAACCAACCCCTTAACGTAGATCTGATTGACAGTCAGTAGCTTGCTGACGTCATCACTCAGGTAGCCGACGAAATTCCTGCCCTGGGCGTAACTGAAGAAGAGTAGCTGGAGCGTGTGCGAGTAGTATATGGAGCTACCGCCTCCGCAGACCGTGTTAGCCTTCTGGGTGAGAAGATGAGATTAAGCAGACACGCACATGGGACGGGCATATTTGCATAGAGACACAAACAAACCTTCAGATCAATGTGCTCCAGTTCGAGTACATTGGTAACGTAGAAAGTTCCAGACTTTGCACTGCTGCTTTCGTCCAGTACCTTCAATTGTAATTTGATTATTACAATTATTACAAAAATAATTAGCTAATTAAGTCAGTCAGTCAATTTCTTAATCAATCCATCAATCAATCAATCCATCACTCAATCAATCCATCAATCAATATGTTAAACAATCAACCAGTCATTCCTTCAATCAATCAATCAATCAATCAATCAATCAATCAATCAATCAATCAATCAATCAATCAATCAATCAATCAATCAATCAATCAATCAATCAATCAATCAATCAATCAATCAATCAATCAATCATTCAATCAATCAATCAATCAATCAATCTATCAATCTATCAATCAATCAATCAATCAATCAATCAATCAATCAATTATCGTCAACGAAACCAACCTGGGTATAAATGTAACCAGCTTGTCCCATAATGGCAATGTACCTAGCATCACCACTGGCATCTCTACCGCCATCTACTCCGATAGTGCCCCCGATGTTATCATTACCCTGGCTGGGTCTACAAATAAAAGTCACATCCCTGATTTTACCGGACGGAAGTAGGAAGTAGTATTGGGGGCTGATGGTGTCTTGTGATAGGTCGTATATCTTTACGAAGTCTGCAGTGACTACTGCTAATTCGCTCTGAGAGCCTGGCAGCCAGAGTGTCTGTGCACGTGTCAATGTATGTGCGTATGCGTGTGTACGTGTGCGTGAATGTGTGCGTGTGGGTACGTGTGCGTGTGTGTATTGTACAGTGTAATGTGTACATATGAATACATTTTTTCAAGTTTTAAGTCTATGTGCTTTGGGCATACAAAAAATAACCAAAATCATGTAGAAAAAATGAAAAGGAGAAAACCAGGCAGACATTAAAATGCAGTAATAATGTCAAATGCAAATAGACAGTATAAATAAATAGAAACCTATAGATGTATATAGACAAACTGACAGAAACAAACAAACACAAACAAGCGAACGAACCTTGATGATGTAGTTACCGGATTCAAGTGCAAGCTGGAGCACGAGGTGTGTGGCTGCAGACCCAGAACTGGTGAAATTAAGGATGTGGCACTCCTGCATTATTGTTATTAACGTTGCTCGTAATTATGCTAATGTTAAAAAACACATACAATACTAACTAACATACAGACAGATAGGAGCAAACATACAAAAAACATACAAAGAATAGATACAATATAAAAATATCTTCAAACCACAAACTACTAGAAAAAACAAGCAGGCATACAAACATTCAGAGACATACATACAAGCATACAAAAGTATACATACATAAATACAAAAAATACAAACAAACGCACAAGAATACAAACATTTAATACAAAACACCTTGTCATTCCAAAGAGCCATGAAATCTTTATTAGCAAAACAAACAAACATACACACATTCAAAACAACAAACTGATGCAAGAAGCATACAAAAAATACAAACATACAAAAAATACAAACATACAAAAAATACAAACAATACAAACATACAAAAATACAAAAATACAAACTTACAATACAAATACAAACATACAATACAAATACATACAATAAAAAGGAACATATAGGATATAAATATACCTTGAGACCACAGACAGCCAAGAAGTCATCATTAGCAGGGCAGCCAGCCATGTTTAGAACTGTGAATGGTACTAACTCCACGCTGATCTTCTGCAACAATAACAAATAATAATAATAAATAATAATAATAATAACAAATAATAATAATAATAATAACAAATAATAATAATAATAATGACAAATAACAACAACCGGTAGAGTCATTTTCTTTTTAGCAGTATGCACGGATTTCAGCAAACTAGGCAGCTGAAGCAGGGTCACCTTGCCTATAATAATAATAATAATAATAATAATAATAATAATTATAATAATTATAATAATAATATTATTATTATTATCGTCATAATTATCACCTTTTTCATTGGCCATGGCTAGATGTTGTTTTTTACCGAATGGTGAAGACATTACACACATAGTCACCTGATCATAATAATAACAATAATAATAATAAATAATAAAAAAAATAATAATTATTATTATTATATTAATTAATCAATTAATAATACTACTTGTAATTTATCGCTGGATTATAATTAGAAATATTTTTAAAACCTTTTTAAGGGCGTGTGACGAGATCAACTGCCTGATGGTCTGACCTTGCTCGCCGGAAAACATCGACCTTGCACTCTCAAACAAGCCCTCTTGCGACCCATGTGTAATTGTCTGTGTGTGTGTAAGTGTGTGCGTGTTTGTGTGTGAGCGCGTGCGTGTGTGTGTTTGTATGAATGTGTTTGTACATGCTCGTTTGTTTGTAAGTCTTGTTAAATGATATCCTTATATCCTTATGATAAGTTGGCATGTGTATAAATTACCTTCCAACCAGCCAGCCAGCCAACCAATCCTCAATTCCTCAAACGAGCCAACTACTTTCAAATTTTTAAAAATTTTGTTGAAGACTTATGAAGCGCAAATAATACTCGTTACTTTAATAGTCAACAACGAAATAATAAACCAACCAGCCAACCAACCAATCATCCAACCAAACCAACCAACCATCCAACCAGCCAATTATCCAACTAACCCAACCAACAATCCAACCAACTAGTAACTAAACTATCAACCAACCAATAAATTATCAGTATATTCAAGGGCGACATCTGTACACTGATGGAGGTCTTGCATTGAGGCCCGACACCTCTTCAGACAGCCAAACAAAGAGGATTTGTTGTAGTGGTCAACTGTTTCTGGAGATAGCATCTCCAGCATGTCAATCAGTGATTCTGCTACTATGTTGTTTTTCTGGGTTTTTTATTGAGTTTGTGTGTGAGCGTATGACAGAGTGGGTTTGTTTGCTACAGAGATTTTTTTTCGCAAACACACGACGAACATCAGCAACCATCCAACTGACCAGCAAATCCAGATAATGTTTAACGACGGCATTCCTCTCCATCACCATCTTCATCTCCGTCTCCCTCCTCTTAACAATTTTTCCATCATCATCAAGAGCACCAGCAGCACCAGCCGCACTGGCGCTACCACCGCTACCACCACCACCACCTAAGGCTACGTCACTCATGACCTTGAAGGCGTGCCCCAGATTAGGAAAATACCTCGATATCTTATTGGACGACGATGCTGACGAATCAGAGACAAGTTTTGTTGTTGCCGACGATTTCGTTGTTAATGATGATGTTTGAATTTGTTGTTTCTGCTTTTTAGACTGCTGCTGCTGTTGTTCAGATTCAGACTGCTGTTTCAGTTCGTTTCTCAAAGTCCTCCTCGTCAAAGCCTTCATGTTGTACGGTCGTGTTTATTAACGGGTCAGAGGTCATTATTTATTATCAGCTATCAACATCTAAAAACGCACTCACACACACACGCAGATGAAAATACACACACACACACACACACACACAAAGAGAGAGAGAGAGAGAGAGAGAGAGAAGAGAGAGAGAGAGAGAGAAGAGAGAGAGAGAGAGAGAGAGACCAACCAAACACTTGGTATTATCTTCCCTGGCACCACAGTCACAGAAAAATGATCCGTATTTAGCGTAGGAAAGGTCGTGACCTTTGTGACAAACTCTGGCGCACACACTACACACACCCACACCGTCTACCATTTTGCACGTGTGGCAGTGATACCTGCGTACGTGTGTGTGTGCGTGTTTGTATGTATGTAAGCGTGTATATATGTATGTACTACGGAAGTACAAAACGGTTGTGTAAATTTTTTTATTTGAAAATTCGGAAAAGAATATTATTTATGATTATAAGGAAAAGATGAATAGACTTTCTGAAAAATATTTTGAAAAAAAATCATCTCAACATCAATTTTTTCCAAACCAAAAACAAATAAACAACATACGAACGAACAAACGAACGAACACGAATGAACAATAATGACATAAGAACGAACATAACCGACGTAACCAACAAGCAAAACACACACACACGCACACAGACACAGACAGAGAGAGACAGACCAGTGTTGGTTCATGAATTCTTTCTGCGTGATAGTGTATGTGCAAAGCTCATATGCCAAAGGTTCATCATCCTGAATTAGTAACCATTAACAAAAACAACAATAATAATAATTATTATTACTATAATTACTACTACTACTACTACAATAATTATTAATAAGATTTTAAAAAAGAATTAACGATAATTATTAAAAATATTCATAGAAACATCAGTAAATGAAAACCCAATACTGGTAACATGGCCTTATTTGACATTTATGTATACACTCAAAATAACGCTATTACAGTAAAAGGTTGATTGATTGATTTATTAATTGATTGATTGATTAATTGATCGATTGATTGGTGGATTGATTGATTTATTAATTGATTGATTGATTTGATTGATTGATTGGTTGGTGGATTGATTTGATTGGCTGGTTGACTGAATGAGAAAGATGATTGGATAAGAGCGACCGAATCGTCATTAGAGTCCTCCTCCTTATTCAAAATATCCTCCAATCCATCGCTATCGTAGTCAGTTGTCGCATTCAGTCCTGTCGCGTGCTGCTGTTGTTGTTGCTGTAGTTGTTGTTGCTCCATTACGCTGGGCGATGCCGACCTCTGTCTACTTTCATTAGAAAGAACAATTACAATAATCATAACAATAATCATAATAATAATAATCATAACAATAATCATAATAATAACAATCATAACAATAATCATAATAATAATAATCATAACAATAATCATAATAATAATAATCATAACAATAATCATAATAATAATAATCATAACAATAATCATAACAATAATCATAATAATAATAATCATAACAATAATCATAATAATAATAATCATAACAATAATCATAATAATAATAATCATAACAATAATCATAATAATAATAATCATAACAATAATCATAATAATAATAATCATAACAATAATCATAATAATAACAATCATAACAATAATCATAACGACGACAACAGATCAATAAATGTTTAAGAAAGAATAGTCATAATGATTGCAGTGACCAAATATAGCCATCCAAAACCAACCAAACAACCAATCGTAAAAGAACTACCAACCAAACAACCAATCACAAAAGAACTACCAACCAAACAACCAATCAATAAAAGACCTACCTTTCCTGGCTCCTACCACTGGCTATCACGCCAGCAGATGGCACGTTGATACAGTCCCTTACGTACAGCAGCACAGAGCACATGGACTCGATGACCTGCTGATGCTAAAGTAGCAACGAAAAAAAACTCTCTTCTAACAAAAATAATAGCATAAATTATGATAAAAACGATAATTTAATATAATTTATTACTGACCAATCCTGGGACATTGTTCTTGGCCTTCTTAATAACTTCTCTTGAGTGTAGATACATTACACTGTTTATTCAAATTTTATTTTATTTGTTAAATTTATATATTAGTTAATTCATCTAGCAATCAATCAATCAATCAATCAATCAATCAATCAATCAATCAATCAATCAATCAATCAATCAATCAATCAATCAACCAATCAATCAATCAATCAATCAATCAATCAATCAATCAATCAGTCAGTCAATCAATCAATCCATCAATCAATCATTCATTCATTCATTCACTCACTTAACCGTTGAGTTCCAATTTTTTATTGGCAGTCAATCAAACATATCGACCAATATATCTAACAACTAGCCATCCCCAAACTAACCAGATATTAATCCATTCGAGAGAGGCCACGAACAAATCATCTTTAACCTCCTGAGGTCCAGTGGAAGCCATGCTGATCATGGCCACAAAAAGTTCCGGAAATCCCTGAGCATCTCCCATGGGTGGCAGAAGTTGGGTGGTGATGTTGATCGTCGGGTGAAGCAAGCGATCGATGAGGTAATGACGAGAAGGCGACAAATCGACGTCGTGTTTGGCCGGTGGTGTCGTCGGGGTGGACGCAGTCGTAGCTG